GATAGGAAGTGGTCCTGAGAAGCTTGGGAACCACAGATGACACACTAGGGCAAAAGCCAAGAAGCAACATCTTGACTCTCATCAAACAAACATGTTTCGAGCTTCCAGGCTGTCCACTACAACTATGCCAGATAAAGAATGCTCTCAGCTAGGGGTGTGGCTCAGCGGTAGAGTGCACAAATCCTTGGATAGGCTCAATCTCTCATACCATAGAAGACAAAGCAAAGTAAGAAAGAAAGAGGAAAAAGGAAGATATCTCCTGTGTCAAAATTTCCCCCCCAATCCAGCTGAAGAAAGAAAAGGCCATTAGTTGTAAATGAGTAGAAGGCGAAGGACTTAAAACATTTCCCATCTTTGCAGTCAGCATCACTCCACACTTACCATACCATTAGCAACATCCACAGTCCTGACTAAGAAGCTGCTGTGTGGTATGAACTGAGGCTACGAGGCTAATCAATGACAAACCCTCCTGAACAAACTGAGATCAGAGTTAAAGCCAGGAATAAAATAAGAAAGCACTGAGAAGAGAGAGCAGGGAACTAAAGGCGACCACAGTTACAGACATGGCAGGGGAACTGGCTTAAGGGACAATCAAGTGCTTTGCCAACTGGAACACTTTAGGGTGTAGAAGGACCATGAGAACGAGGAAGAGATGCATGCACGTAATACAACACATTCTAGAAATATTGTTACCTCCTCAAAATACAGAATTTGCCAGGAATTAGGAATTTCCTCAGGGTGCGGCACTCATACGGTATCCTTGAGTCTGATGAAAGATTGGGACATAGGATCTGGATGTCTTTTGCTTAATGTCCACCCTGACAAGGCAGAAGCCATTGAAAATTCACAGAATGAGCCCTACTACAGGACTGAAACAGACAGCAAACAGAAGAGAAAGGAGAGCTTCATCGTGTACACACCAAAAGCACCAGTATGGAGAATACATAGGTACAGCAAGGAGGGGTAGGGTCAATGGCAAAGACATAACTGAGACTTCTCACCATGTGTTACTCAGGCCAACCCATGAACCAGATTTCTGTGCGAAATTACAAAGGGACCAACAGGGTTAGAAAATAAGACTGCTGTCTGATTCCAGACAGGAAGTTTTGCTACCAAAATGAAAGGCTCTACTGTTAGAAACATGCTAAGTTGGGGTGGCCAGCAGCGCAGGTAATCTAGAAGATCACGTTAGCCACCCAAAAGAAAAAGACCACGATCTGAGCAAGAATGTGGGCTTGAGGCTGGTTCGCCATGCAAGTCTTTTATTGTTTTATTTACGTCATTTGAACCTATTACAGAAGAGCAAAAATTCCAAGTGCATCCGGAAGTTTAGTACAGTAGGGGTTTCCCTCCCAAATGACGTTAGTCATATTAATTATTCAGAAGAGTCAAGGGAAGGCCATTCTTTACAGATAGCAAATTTGGAAGAAATGTTAATTATGCTTTTCCCACTGTAATGATAACTCAGGATTAATTAAGAAAGGCTTGTTACTTTCCTATGATCGTTAAGCTGTGAGAATCACTCAAGCATAAAACGACTAGAAAAACAACACAAGACAATTGGAGTTTGGGGGAAACGTGGTAGCTGAGACACTGGGACAAGGACCTCGGTCTGGGTGGCAGGCTCAGCTTCTGAAATAAGATGGTTGGCCGCGAGGAAGGGAATTATAAGTAGATGGAAGCAATGTTGGAAATTAACAACACTTCGTTTGAGCCAAGAATCTAGATCTCCTTACCAGAGTTGTCCATAGCCAGAGACGCTCCTAGGGGGCAGCCAAACTGGCTGGTGGCAGCCAACCTGACTTATGGCAATTAATTCCAATTGAATTGACTGACCTGAGGTTTGCCTGTACCACGTTCCTACACCCACTCTGTAGAAGTCTAAATGCTTTCATAAACTGTTATATACTAAGCAAAAGACACTGCCTTAGCTCTACGTGGCCAAGGCTTCTGGTTTAAGTCACCTTGGACCAGAACAGTTAACACAGCGAAAGATGCTTCTAGACAAAGACAATTCCACAGAAGGTTTATTATACCTCATTTCTGTATTGTCTTGTCATTAGTTACTACTGCTAAGCTCTTATTACAGTGGAACTTGAAATTAAACTTCGTCACAGGCACTTGTATAAACTATGGTGGACTGTACCTAGGAGATTCTGTATTTTACATGATACCAGGCACACACTGGATCTGAAGAAGTCCTATTCTTTCAGTAATATATATATATATTTGATGTATTTTAAGAATACACACACGCCAGATTGTGTGTGTTGGAGAACAATTGATCAGAATGTGTATCTCCTCTACATGTGAGTTTAGAGCTTGAAGTCAGTAGTGGGAGACCACATCTTCACATGCTGAGGAATGACCAGGCCCAGAAGAGCTCAGTTCTAAATTAGAACATTTTAGGAAGACAACTCCATGTACCTTTTCCACTGACTTTACCAACCTGGCATCCTCATCTCTCAGAACCAACTAAATCTCTGGCCATGTTCATGTCTCAACAGAAATTTCTTTCTCTGACATAAAGGTGAACACTTGCCGAAAGTTATCTACAATTTAATCAGACAAAAGGAAAAATGAATTAACATGCAAAATTTACTAGTGAAAAGGTGTATCACAGAAAGCATTTCCTTCTGTAGAAAAATTACTATGGTCACATTTATAGTGACTCAGAGTCAATTATCAATTTTATTAAATCTTTTTTTATAAAAAATAAGCTAACGAATATTGCACAAAGAAAGTGAGCAGCGCTCAGGGTCCTGTACAACTCACCTTAAGGGTAAATTTCTTTTGTTAGTTACTATATAGAATGACTCCATTTCTTGAAAGAACGGAGCTAACACATATGGAAAAACTAGTATAGGACATTAAAAGCTTCCTATGTGTTCCATGTTTTATATGGCTTTCAATATTCAATAATGTAACTGTTTCCTCAATCAAAAAGTATTACCATTCTTAAAAGTTTAATGCTGGTTTCTATAGTGTGGTTGTGTGATAAACTATGGTAAGAAAAAAACATGTTATAAATAACTTCAATTTGTCAAACGCTGTCTACCACATCTTGCTTAGGATAAAACACAGTTCACTGAGTGATGGGAAGGAAGCCTGCTACAGATGTTAGAAATCATGACCCTGCCACATCCAAGCTTTCTTGACCAAGGCTCTGATGAATGAGTGTTCGAATATATACATACATGTACACCTACATACACATACATATATACAGATATACACATACATATTATACATTATATATACATTATATATTATATATACATATAATATACATATATACATAAGTAAGAAAGGATGATCCTGTGTGCTGCTGTTACATGCCTATGCTACTAGGCCTGGTTCTATACAATGTTAGGATTGAATGCAGAAGCTATAGCCCCAATAACACATTTTACAAAACCCAGATGGATATATCCTAAAAAGCTTGACTCATGTTAAATATATGTAAAAGATATTGATTCATGTTAATTATACATAAGATAAATAAATAAATAAATCATCCTCTATGACTATTAATTTTTTGTATTTTGAAGGTTGTTCAATGTTCTAAACATAGTTCACAGTTTCCTTAGAAGGAAAATCTACACTGACCGTTTCCCCTCCCCCACCTCTTTTCTTGAGCTAGGCTATCTCTCACTAGTACCAGGTGGCCCAGTCTGTCCTGTCTTAGCATCTGGTGAGGGAACTGCAGAGCCACCACAGCAGCTAAATGTGCTGCCTTGCTAGGAACTCCTCTCGGCTGTGTTTTTATCTGCTCACCATCGGAGTCACCTGTTCAACTCTTCCGTGATTGCAACTTCTTGTGACTCAGTAAAGCAAGGGTGTCAGCAATCATCACACTCATTATACCGTCTACACTCACTTTAACAAACTCACAAGCTGAGAAAGGAGTTCCATGTAAACAGAGTTCAGTGTGGGACCACGTGACACACGTGGATGACAGAAGCAGAGCTGATACAAGTTCTAATGTACAGGAAGAGGATCAACACAAACATGAAATGAAAAACAGCCAATGCCCATCTATGGCTGCTTTTAGGTACTTTTTAAACAGAATGCTTTAAGGATTTTCTTCGTGAAGTGAGAAAAAATATAAACATTAAGGAAAACAATTAAGCTAAGCTCACTGCTAGGTTTTTGAACTAGAAGTTGGCTCAAAGTTACTAGCCCTTTTTCCCAACCTCATATGGTGGGCTTAGGGTATGGTCACTGCTTTTTCTGAGCAGAGTTTCCAGGTCTCTGGCTACAAGTGAACTCATCCTGACAACTTACAAGCACAACACTGAAGCGTTCTGCTTTTCCCCAGCTCATACAGGCTGCTGTAGCCCAGGAATAAATTGTAAGGTCCGAGACTGCACTTATCCTGGAAAAAGTCGAGTTGATTCAATCAGAACTTACTATTCACCTATCTCTTTTGATTTTTTTTTTAAACTCAAACCAAGTATTTAATCATTTCTCAAAAATGTTTTGTAGGAGGTAATCAATTGATACAACTCCAAAAGTACTGACCCACCTATGTGAACCCATACCCGCAATAACTAAACATTTCTGTTTTCCTCTCCAAACAATAACTAACTTTGTATATGAATAGGATTTCTATTGCAGATCTCAGCTTTACAACCTCTATGAGTTTGGGTAAAAACAAATGATCAACACTGGCACCGTTTCCATTTCTCAGCCCATCTCTACAGAAGGAATTCTCCCGATTCTTCTATTCACAAGAATTTTGATTTTTGGCTTTTCTTCTGGCACTTAGTCTCATTCACCGTTTGCTTACACTGATTTGATTCTTTACTGTAAATTCCTTAGATTGGACCTTACAGGTTTTCTTAACCACACTGCCTAAAGAGATAATTTGTATAAATAAAACACATAATAGATATCTGGTAACTCTAAGCTAATTTACAACCAAGAAAGAACTGTCTAAATAAAACAGATTAAAGCCACAAGGATGAAGCCAAAGAGAGGAGGGAAAGGATTCTCACCGTCTGCCTGGGCCTGAGCCTCTGCTATGCGGGAAAGGAAGCTGAGAAGGTTGTTGAAAAGTGGCTCTGATGTCATCGGAGTCTTCAGATTCTCCCGCCCTCCTCAGTCAACTGCGCACCTTCAGAACGGGAAAAGGACATTTTGGCAACCATTCTGAACCAGATTTAGGAACATTATTTTGTGACAGTCAATACATTTTTCTCAGAATCTCTCCTTGCTCAAATTCAATACAGAAGGAGTCATTTGACAGATATAAGTTGTTTATGTCTATTACTTTATTAAAGAAATGCAAAACGTCCTCGCTATGGAAATAATACATTTGCTTAATTATTAGAAGAAGCTATGCCAAAATAAACCATGACAAGGGATAGTGTTGCTGCTACGAAGTGCCTGTTCACCTACGTTAATGGCAAACTTTCTCGTGTTCTGACAGACTCACCCATTATGATTCACTCCAAAATTCTATGTACCCCTAAAGACATCACCAAAAAAGAAAACCAAGAAAAAACAACTGTAGGTTCTCTCATATTAAATTTCGTCAGTTTCAAAATAGAAACAATTTACACTTTCCAACACAATAGGCATTAGCTGTCTTACATTCATACGAGGACAGTAGAGAAAAGCTAGAACCACTTTTGATGTTAACAGCCCTCAAAACAGGATGGAGAAATGGCAAAAAACAAACCACGTGGACCAGCTGAGATAAATAAACTACAGCAAGGCCACACACACCTGCAGAGCCCAGAGCCACTATATTATTGATACAATAATAGCAAACACAGAAATTATCTGGTACAAGAAACTAGACTAAAACAAAAACACTGAGTATAATCCTACTTGCATACACTCCTAGACAATGCAAATTAATCTACTATGGGAAAAAAATCGATCAATGGGGTTTCCTGGGAAAGCAGCTTACACAAGGCAGGAATTCAAACGGGCTACAGTCAATTGTGGTGCTGGTTTCATTATGACTTGAAATGCCACAAAATGTTGTATGCCCCTTAATGGTGCAATTCCAATCCAAAGATTTATCCTATTTTCTAAGAAAACAAAGAACATGGAAGGTGGTAAAAGTAATCAGCAAAAATAAAAATTCATAATACGTATTATTTCTAACAGAAAAAAAAGAGAAACAGCTAATATATATTGAAATAAAAAAGCCTAAAACTAGCTAAAACAATGATCCATTACACCATGAGATAATATATATGATACGGTATCATATACAAAGTCTTATATAAGGAATTTGAGTTATGCTGAGTGATATATATTAAAAATTAAAGAAACCCTATGTTTAGCGCAAATACTTTCGCATTAAAACCATACAAAATAGTGGCATCCTTTCTACATTCAGACATAATTATTTTTTTCTTTCTGCTCATAAATATTTTGTAATTTTCTTCAATGAACGGATATTTCTAACAAATGAAAGCTGAATATAACAACCAGGAAAAAGTGGACCTGCTTGGTACAAGCACAAAGAAAGACCTCTAAGAGGTATCCCACACGTCAAACAGAGGTGGCTCTGCTGTCACCCTGCTCCACCAGTGATCTACTAAATAGGGAGGACCAGGTACACTGGGAGAAAGCAGAAGCTATCATGAAGGTTTGTGCTTTCCCAGTTACAGAGCACTTTATTAGGCTTGGGCGTACTCAACCTTTATAGTGAGGTTTCACGGGAACAGCAGACTCGGAAGAGGGTCCCAAATTCTATATTTTGGAGTCAAATCAGACCTTGCCAATAAATTCTGACAGGAGTTCTCAGTAAAGTAAAGTGGGTGGGGTGGAGGGTTAACTACTTTTCCTGACTATATATAGATGGAAGTTATTCAAATGTGATCTTTAAAGCAACCACATGTGCGATTATACTTATTAGACTACAACAGAGACCTTGAGGGATTCTCTACACCTAATTCCTAGCCTTGGAGACTATTCCCAATAATTTGGCCTTGACTTCGTTGACAAATATCAAACCACCGAGATCTTAATACTTTTTCAGTTATTACATTTCTTCTCTTCTTGAGAAATACTGTTACTTGGTCGTTAAATACGGAGGAAGAGCATGATCTGACTTTACAGTTCAAGCTGTATCTTCATTAGTATAGTCTCCAAGCAGGCATGCTCTATGAAGAACGCTACCTGGTCCTGACTAGAGGAAAAGGGAGGATTTACAGAGTAACATAATAAACGGTGACGGTGGTAAAGTATAGGAGCCTTCAAAACAAAAGTCTTGCTCACATTCCCAAGGACAGTTATCAGAGTCTGGCACAACGTGAAACCTTCTGCATGTGCCCAATTGAAAGGAACCCTGTCAGCCAACTGTTATCATTTCCATTTGATGGATGGAAAAACTGAACTTCAGTTACCCCTACTCACAAAGTTAAAAGAAGCTAATGAAGAAATCACGACTCAGGGTTAGGTGTGGACAGGCAGATCTCTGTAAGTTCAAGGTCAGTCTGCTCTGTGAAGTGAGACCTGTCTCACAAAAAGAAACAAAAACAAAAGAAAAACAAAGAAATCAAATTCTGGTAACATTTAATCAAAAAAAAAAAAAATCCAAGCCTTGGAAATGACCTGAAATATTCATGGTCTCCTTTCTGTAATAATATCCATTTCCCGGCTTCTTGAATCACAGACATATTAAAAAACAAACCACTGAAGCAGATGACGGCTGCCTATTCCATGGAGAAGTAAAACCAAGTCTACATCTCTGTGGACATCTACTACATTCTAGAGCTACTCACTTCTATGGCTACCCTCCACCAGTGTTGTTATATATCGTTTGAACTACGTATGAACACAGGAGAAAATAGAGATACGGAAACGTAACAACAAAGGTTAGCATAGAGTAACAACTTTCACAGATGATCATTTACAAAGTTCTTATGTAAAGAAATGTTTAAGTTATTCATGACTCAGTGTGTCAACTAACGAGAACAACAGGACAGACTTCTGAAGAAACCCTTCATTCACTAGCAGGTGTGGTACTGGTGGACCATCTGTGCCTGCCTGTCCACCCTCGGATTTGTCACTGCGCTGGACATCGGACATCATCAATTGCTCTTGCTACAGCTCCTGACATCATGCAGGATTGCCCTCCATCCCATTACTAATGTGTGTGGCAGTTTGTTTCGCAGTTAAAAACAACCCATCCTTGCTGGTCTAAACACAATTAACATCACACCAGTTAAAGACTGCAGACTTTGCTGTCTAAGATGCTAAAATACCAACCGCTCAATATGAAACTGAAGCAATAAATATGAAAACACATAGCTTGGGGCAAGTTACAGTCAACCTTACTGGGGTGCTAAAGAGGAGACTCAGAGGGCAAGAACACTTCCTCTTGCAAAGGATCTGGGTTAGATTCCCAGAACCCATTCTGTAGCTTCCAATCCTCTCTAACTCTGACTTCATATCGGATGCTCAACTTTCTCTCAACAGGCACTTACATGAAACCTTGTAGGTGCCTAGAAGCACATGCAGGCATGCACCCATACATCTGAATATTTTTAAAACAGTATACTAAGTTAGTAAAAAAAATTATTAGAGAAAAAAATCTTCTTTGTCCGATGGTAGTGTAATCTTGTAGGACATGTACAACACATCACTTGAGATTAATAAAAAAAAGTTTACAAAAGTGTATGACAGATGACAAGACCCAGAACTAAAGAACCCTTTCATAGGGGTCACCCAAGACCATTGGAAACCACAGACATTTACATAATGATTCATAACGGCAGCGAAACTATAGTTATAAAATAGCAACTAAAATAATGTTATGGTTGGGGGTCAGCACAACATGAGGAACTGTATTAAAGGGTCACAGGATTAGGAAGGTTGAGAACCTGGGTCTAGGGGATCCAACACCCCTTTGTGGCTTCTGCAGACACCTGTGCTCCTGTGCACATACCCACCCAAACATGCACAAGTACATATTAAATAAACCTTTTAAAAAATAGTTAACTTTAAGACTTAAAAACCACCTCATACCCAAACCAACTCTAAAGCTATTGAGAGAACCAACACATTCCTATGTTCCTCATAAGGACATAAGAGGCCTGGCCTCTCTGGGAAAGAGCTGGGCAGTCTCCGACAGTTACATGCACACATACATTCAGAACATCACAACAATTCCACACATGGCTCTTTAAGGAGGAGAAACCAAAGTATATCCAAAAATTGTATGCAAAGTGGGATCGGTATCAATCCTCTTAGCCAAGATTGTAACCAAAGCAACCATCCACCAATGACAGGATAAAAGTGAGACAGTAACTAAAACTAAAACCAAATGCCATGTGTAGTGCTTTGTAAAGCAAGATCTACACGACAGACAGAAGGGGAAGGTGTGTGTGGGGCGGGGGGGAGCACCAAAAGGAACTTTCAGACCCAGTGTTTATGTATTTTTTAACGAAGTTTCCATAGAAACTCAAGGGGGAAAGTACAATCTTGTCAGTAAATGGTCATAAAATCCTAAGAACACGTGAGTAAATAAATATGTATCCTCCTTTAGTTTACTATCTGTTAAACTAATTATCTGGATCACAGTTTGAAGCAACACACAGAACCAAACTTATAGAAGAAGAACAGGAGAATTTAGGTTAGAGAAAGTTTCCTGTGTTGAGCACTAGAAGCACAATCAATAAAAACTGAACAACTGACCCTCATTAAAGTCGCCAAGAGGTAATCAGTTATCTGAAAAGCCAACACCAGAGTGAGAGAAAATGTCTGCAACTCATAAATGGGAAAAAAATTCATCCAGCACGATTAAATTCCTTAGAACTCAAGAATGAGATGATCTAATCAAATAAAAATCAGTAATATGGCGACCATCCTAATTCCCCATTAGAACTGTCGATGAAGTGACAGTGACCACACCACCAACACTATAATACCTATCATTTTTCATTTGAAGAATTTCGTCAGTTGGAAATGTTGATGAGTGGATCTGGTTGTACTAATTCACTTTCTATTGCTGTGATTAAATACCAACAAAAAACCACATCAGAGAGGAAGAGGTTTACTGCATCTTACCACTTAAGCGTCCAAAAATGAGAAGTCAGGTCAGCAACTCAAGCAGCAACTGGAGCAGAGGCAGTGGAAGAGTGCTGCTGACTG